CCAGGCATGGTGGCTCATGCCTGTAATTCCAGCTACTCCGAAGGCTGAGGTTAGAGGATCATTTGAACCCAGATGTTTGAGCTCAGTCTGGACAACATAGCAAGACCCCATTTTCCCACCTCCCTGCAAAAAACTCCAAAGCAAGTGGAGAAAAGAGCCCTGGATAGTGTATCATGAGCTAAGAGAACGTTAGAGGCCAGACTGTGTTCTGTTAGATAATAGAATTTCCATTTAGCTGAATACTGACTTACTGCCTTTGCTAAAGCATAACCACTCTGTGTAGTTGGCATTTTCTTAAAAGTTTTTTTATAGACTATATTCAGAATTTTTATGTTGGAATAAAATGCCTCAGCCTAGGACTAAAATTGAGGACTGAATAGTTAAATAAGATATTACAGGGCTGGGCACAGTGGCTCACGCCTGTAATCCCATCACTTTGGGAAGCTGAGGCAGATAGATCACTTGAGGCCAAGAGTTCAAGACCAGCCTGGCCAACATGGTGAAACCCCATATCTACTAAAAATACAAAAATTAGCCAGGCGTGGTGGCTCACGCCTGTAATCCCAGCTACTCGAGAGGCTGAGGCAGGAGAATCGCTTGAACCTGGGAGGCAGAGGTTGCAGCTGTCTCTTATACACATCTAGATGTGTATAAGAGACAGGCCTTAAGATACTATTGTGTAAACGGTGCTTTGGAAACTGCAATTTGTTTTCAAATAGTTGTTGGTATTACTGCCCTAATTGATGGGATCTGAGAAGTTAATGATGAATAATAAAATGTCAAGAAGTCATTGGGGGCCAGGCGCAGTGGCTCAGTCCTGTAATCCCAGCACTTTGGAAGGCCGAGGTGGGTGGATCCTCTGAGGTCAGGAGTTCAAGACCAGCCTGGCCAACATGGTGAAACCCTGTTTCTACTAAAAATACAAAAATTAGCTGGGCGTGGTGGCGTTACCTGTAATCCCAGCTACTCGAGAGGCTGAGGCAGGAGAATCGCTTGAACCTGGGAGGCAGAGGTTGAAGTGAGCCAAACTCACGCCCCTGCACTCCAGCCTGGGCGTCAGAGTAAATCTCTGTCTAAAAAAAAAAAAAAAAAAAAAGAATCCCAAGATCGCCTATGATAACAGTTCCCACGGTTGGATCTGCGGAGCATGCATGTATAGTTTCCGGCCTCCTCCCTCCACCAGCAGCACTGCCACTGCTGAGACCCAAACTGACTGGAGAATCAGCCTCATGAACTCTCCAGCCACGGCTGGTCATCTGCCATCAGCATTTGGTGAGGGACCTTTATGTGCCAGACACTGCTGAGAGCCAGGTGGATTTGATGAACTCGGTCCATGATGGGCAAAAGATGCCCATAGAGAAGTGAACATGGTGCCGTAAGCGGGAGGGGCTCAATGACCAGACCATTAAGGATATGAGGAAGGCTTCTCAGAAGGAATGTCTTGTGAGCCAGACCTGGGAGGCTCATTTTCAGACAGAAGAGAGAGAAAAGGGGCATGTCAGACTTCCCCTGCCCTTTTTTTTTTTTTTTAGTTCAAAAGAAAAATATGCTCCTGGGAGCTGTTGTCACTTTTCCTTGGTTATCAGCTAGAATCACATCTGGTTTTGAAGAGGTATACTTCATAAACGATCATCTCCAAAGTGAGCTGACACATTTATCTTTGCAACTGAGTATGTGAATGAATTACCCCCTTTTTAATGTTGTTACCTTCATGAGTGCCGGAAAGCAAATGTCTTCTGTTTCTTCAGTAACTTGAATTCATTTTCAACTTTGATTCGTTGCTATGATAGTGTGTTCTTAAAGTCACTGCTGTAGAGGAAACCTTTTGTTTTCTCCAGCTCATGAAATGGACCCTGAAGCAGTACTCCCTTTTATTATTTAAGGTATGAGAAACATGACCTTAAGAAACAAAACATAGAAAATTACTAGGCCAGAAAGAGTCCAAATTCTACTTTCATTACCTGGAGTTCAGAAACCATTGCCTCAGTCCTGGATCTGCTGTTAACCCTTTGTGTGACCTTACCCCGTGACTCACTCTCTTTGGGCCTCAGGCTACTCTGTATAAAAAGAAAGCAGTGAAACCAGCCTGGGTGCCTGCCATGGTAGAGACGTGGGCTGAGGCCGGGCACTGTATGTGTGTGGCCTGCAGATCCATTTTTGGGAACTGCGGGTGATCATGGCCTTCAAAAGCACTTTTCCAGTATGAGCCCTTGTTGGCTGCCACATTCTTCAAGGTGGGATGTTAACCTGTGATCTGCTAGAAAGAAGGGGGATTGGGGAGATTGTGTGTTCAGATGAGTCTGCAAAGCTTTCACGTGAAGAAAGTTAGATTTCTTTTTTGCAAGACGTCTCAGATCTTAATTATGTTATTTTGTGCTGTAAATTTCCTCGAAAGGCTTTCTGAGGTTATTTGACCAAGCTACCTTTTCATCTTACTCTGCTTTAAAATGATACCAATCCTGGGGCCTGGCACGGTGGCTCATGTCTGTAATCCCAGCATTTTGGGAGGCCAAGGCAGGCGGGTCACTTGAGGTTAGGAGCTCCACACCAGCCTGGCCAATATGGTGAAACCCCATCTCTACTAAAAATACAAAAAAAAAAAAAAAAAAAAAAAGTCGTTGGATGTGGTGGTGCGCATCTGTAATCCCAGCTACTTGAGAGGCTGATGCAGGAGAATCGCTTGAACCTGGAGGCAGAGGTTGCAGTGAGTCGAGATCGCACCACTGCACTCCAGCCTGAGCAACAGAGCGAGACTCCATCTCAATAATAATAATAATAATAATAATAATAAAACGATACCAATTCATGACATGGTGATTGATGAAGCTGAGTATTACTGTTGAGTATTCTTTGTTTCATTTGCTGAGTCAATAAAAAGGTATTGACTGTCTTGTGTGCGAGGCTCTGCTTTAAGCCCCGGACATAAGGCAGCAAACAAGATGGACACAGGCTTCATCCTCGTGGAATGAGGCACTACAGTTTCCCATGCTGTGAAGGAGAAGTCAGGCACCATGACAAACTTTACATGGGCAGGCCTGCGTGAAGGGATCAGGGCAGGTGTCCCTGAGGGAGTGGCACTGATCCTGGGTTCTGAGGGATGAATAGGGAGTTAGCTGGGGCGGGGAGAGGTGAATGGTGACCACCTGGGAGGTGCTAGTGACAGTGTGGCCCAGATGTTTAGATCTGGGGAGGAGGAGGTAAGGTCAGAGAGGTATGGTAGGTGGGAGCCAGGTCAGACTAAGACTGGGCTTCCTGGTGATGTCAGGAAACTCTGAGTTCTGAACAGGCTGGTAACCCGATCAGGTGTGCCTTTGAAAAGGATCAGTTAGGCCCTGTATTTCTAGCACTTTGGGATGTTGAGGCAAGTGAATTGCTTGAGCCCAGGAGTTCAAGACTAGCCTGGGCAACATGGTGAAATCCCATCTTTACAGAAAATACAAAAACTAGCCGAGTGTGGTGATGCGTACCTGTGGTCTCAGCTACTCTGGAGCTGACGTGGGAGGATCACTTGAGCCTCGGGAAGCAGAGGATGCAGTGAGCTGAGGTCACGCCACTGTACTTTGCCTAGGTGACAGAGTGAGACCCTGTCTCAAAAACAAAAAGAGGGGGATCATTTAGGCCACTGAGTGGAGAACGGGGTTGGTCTGTAGGAAGACAAGGATGTTGAGAGAGAGCTCAGTGAGACTTATCCCTGGTAGTAAAGGGCAGTAGGGGAGGGAGAAAAGGGGATGGATTTGAGAGACAGGAGGAGGATATTTAATGAGAATAACTCCATGTTAATGGTGTAATGCTTTTACCTTTGAGAACAAAACCAACAATTAAATTTAATAACATCTGACATTTTACTTTGTTCTGTTACAGTAAAAGGAAAGTTCTTTGATTTCTTCCTCCTTAATGTCTCCTATATCTTCCCTCTCAGCCTGAAACCTCGGGCATTTTTTCTTTGGGTAGCTCCATTCTAATCTGACTTCTTGCCGTAGCCTCAATTTCAGGTTTTATCACAAGATTTCTGTACTGAAATCCTTCCCATTGACTTCCGAGGCCTTCAAGCTGAAATACCAGTGCGTTTCCCGGGCTGTTCCCTGTTCCTCTGCCACTACTGTCACCTTGCCTCCTGCCACTGTCCCACCCCCACCTCCCCCGCCCCACCACTCCCCCTGCCACGTTTTAGCTGCATTAATCTCGGTACTTGAAAGTTCCTACAATGGGCTGCATATGCATGGGCTCCCTTCCTTTGCAGATGCTGTTCCCTCACTGGGTGCCTTCCCCCATTTCTTCACCTGGGCAAGTCGTTTTTATCCCAAATCTAAACCCACCCCTCCCCCCGCCTTTTTTATTTTTTATTTTTTTGAGAGAGAGTCTTGCTCTGTTGCCCACGCTGGAGTGTAGTGGTGCAATCTTGGCTCACTGCAACCTCTGCCTCCTGGGTTCAAGCAATTCTCCTGCCTCAGCCTCCTGAGTAGCTGGGGTTACAGGCACACGTGTGCCACCACACCCGGATACTTTTTGTATTTTTAGTAGAGTTAGGGTTTCACCATGTTGGCCAGGCTGATCTGAACTCCTGCCCTCAAGTGATCCGCTTACCTCGGCCTCCCAAAGTGCTGGGATTACAGGTGTGAGCCACCACGCCCGGCATCAGCCCACATTTTCTCAAGCACCTTCCTTGAGCCCAGCCAGTCTGAGTTAGTTACCCGCCCATCCTGTGTTTCTACAGCCCTCTACCCTTCCTGCAGATTGTCTTTAGTGTTCATCTTGTTTTCTCCCTTGTTAGCCCGAAGGGAGGAGCTCCTTAAGGGCAGCAACTTTGCTCTCATCTCTGAACCCCAGAAAGTAACAGTACCTGGGACAAAGTAGGTGAACAGTAGACGTTTGGCTGACTGAATGAATGATGGTGTGAATGAATGAATGAATGAGGGAATAAGCAAGAGATAAGTTTTAAGTTAATTTCTAAGACCTTTGTATATATAACATTTTAACTTCTGTTTTCTTTCATTTCCTAGCACAGCTGAAGGTTTAACAAGAAAAAATATGTCAGATGTCAGTGGGTGGCAAACATTTTTACAAGCCCTTGACTACTTCCTCAAAATGTTCTTTGGCTCTGCAGCGCTCGGCACTCTCACTGGCTTAATTTCTGCATTAATATCCTTTTAATGTGATGAGCATACAGGGTTGAGATTATTCTTGATGGCTTCTGTCTCTAGCCAGTTTCTCCTGTTTTTTAAGGGGGCCAATTTTAGATGAAGGTTTTGCTTAAAGGAGGATTTTTTGCTTAGTTTTTGTTTGAGAAACACTCTAACTCAAGGATTTTTTAATTTAACATGTGAAATTTAGAATGTCACTTTTCAAAGTTTAAAAAACATATACGCTGTTGGATATCAGATATGATTTTGGGGACTTCTCAGTTCCCAGAGTATGATAACCACACTCAGATGATTTTCATTTTCTGCCATCTTACTTTTCACATTTGGAAAATTAGAAATTAATTTTCTTTGAAAATGTCAAATAGACCAGGTGCAGTGGCTCACGCCTGTAATCCCAGCACTTTAAGAGGCTAAGGCTGGAGAATTGCTTTCGCCCAGGAGTTCAAGACCAGCCTGAGCAATGGAATATAGTGAGACCTCGTCTCTAAAAAATACATAAATAAAAATAAAATGTTAACCAGAGAAAATTTTTATCCCACTGAAAGTGTTTATCCAGAAGGATTGAAAAAGGGGCTTTCAAAATGTGTTCCATTGAGTTATTTGCACTGATTTTGTTATTTAACAACCAATAAGCTTTTCTAGCTGGAGATGGAAAGAGTCTTGTTAAGGCCAACGACACCTTTATTGCTGTAGAAATTTCATTATGTTTAAAATAGTAACAGGCAGTAGACCACTTTGGTGCGCGCCTAAGCCTATGTCTCAGGGAGATGGCCACCTGGCCCGCCTCCATGAGCAGTTTGTTTCACAGATGGCCGGAAGAGACTCTTTTGCCTGGTTACAGGCATATTTTTCTGCCATCCTGTTGAATTTTCCCATCAACTCCTTTATCTAGAAGTCTAAAGGCTCTGTTGAGTTGGCTGACAGCTTCTCATATTGTACCAATAAACAGAATGGAAAAGAAAATTTTTTCCATTTCAGTATTTTCCTCTATATCTTTTTCTTTAAAAAAAAAAAAAGTATCTATCAAAATGAAGTGGAGCAAATGGGTACTGTGAGCTCCAGTATAGGCATTGTGAATGATACTTCAATATATACAAGGCTCTCTCCTTTTACAGGGGCATGAGTTTGGAAATCTCCAGGAATAGAAAAGACTGCGCTTCAACAGGGCCTGGAACCCCAGTTAGAACAGCAATTCACACTAGTTGTCTTTGACTCAAAACTGATGGGGAAAGCAAGATGGGTAGCATTAGTGATCTCATCTGATGTTGTTGGAGGAGTCGGGGTGATATGGCCCTGGGAGGAACCTGGCAGAGTGAACTGACCTTGGTGTGTCTGCAGCTCCAGCTTCGTGCCATGGCCCAGCACATCCCCAGCCCTCTAAGTCAGCATTTTTAAATGAGTTGACTTAGGTTGATTTTCATCTTCCACCACCATTTATCTCCGGAATTTACATTTCTTAGTGTTTTGTTTCTTATAGCAACAGTCTCCCTACAAAGGAAAAAAATCCATAATGACAAATTTTCATTTGTAACCTTGGGACGTTCCAAAATCTTCTGTACCTGTTTACTTCATATATTTGGAAAGCAGCAGTTTTGTGACTTCTCCACATCTCCCATCAACTCTCCCTCGATTCTCCTTCCTTGACAGTTGTCATTTACGTGCTGAAGCATATTGACTTGAGGAAAACACCTTCCTTGGAGTTTGGCATGATGATCATTTTTGCTTATCTGCCTTATGGGCTTGCAGAAGGAATCTCACTCTCAGGTAAGTGACAGAGAGCCTGAAAGTGCTGTGGTGATGGCATTTTGTCCTGCCTGATGAAAGAGGCTTTGTCAGTTGGGTCACCTTTAGTCACAAGAGACAGTCACAACTCAGAAGAGCTTAAGTGATAAAGGGAATCTATTGGCTCCCTAGACACACATCTGGATTTAGGTCTGCCTGGATCCAGTAGCTCAGTCACATTGGTGTCACAGTCACGTTTTCTCTTAACCTGCCTCTCTTATTTAGCCCATCAGTCCTGTGAGGCTCCCTCAGAGGAGGGTAGCCTGTGGGAGGGAGGTACTGTGAAGGTCCCTATTTTACTGATGAGAAAACTTGAGGTTGAGTGAAATTAAGTAAATTACTCAAGGTCACAGCTGGGATTGGTGGAACAACGATTCAAACTAGTTGTCTTTGAGTCAAGAACCAGTGCTTAGAACCCTCCTCTAATACAACTCCCCCCAAAACAGATCATCATGAAACCATGTACTCAGTGCTACATAGAGGGACAAGCAAAGTGTGGCGGTGACGTAATGTTGGGCGTTTTTGGACACACTTTACCAGTATTCAGTTTTTTTATGCTGCTACCGCCCATGTGGCGTAGGTACTAAGGTTGTCATTAGCCCAAAGCTGCACTGCACAGGCAGTGGTGGTAGTGAGATTGACATCGGAGGCCCAGAGCCTTTTCCCTGCACCCCATTGGAGGAGGGCACACAGCTCCCAGCCGCAGGGACGACTCTGATGTGGCCCTAGAAGATGATACTCACCAGCTGGAGGAGGGGTGGCCACTTACAGAGTGATGGTCTTGGTAGTGGTCACCTGGTAATCAGTCAGCAGCCCCTGTTGGCAAAGCTTGGCTTAGTTGGGCTTTCTGCCTACAAGTGGCAGTCAAGTTTGTGTCCCCAGCTTGTTACATTGTAAGGGTGTTGACCTGAAAATGGAACATGACTCACTCCTGTTCCTGTGTGAGGGGGCAGCCAGGTGGGAAGGACTCTGCCCCGGAAGTCTGATCCCATCCTTTGAGTGAAGTCCCTTCAGAGGCCTTGTTCTGGAAATGAGGCACTATTGCAGGAATGTTTTGATCTGTGCCACAGGATGGCAGAGATTTTCTTTTTTATTAACTTTGTTGAGGTATAATTTACACACAATACATGGACCTGTTCTAAGTATATAATTCTATGAATTTTGGCAAATGTGGGCAGTCATAACTACCCCTACAGTCAAGGTGTGGCATATTCTTATCGATAGCCCAACGTGGCTCCCCTGTGCCCTTCTGCAGTCAATCCCCCTGCCTGCCCTGAGCCCTGGCACCCACTGATCTGCACTGTCATTGTAGTTTTGCCTTTTCCCGAATGTCATTTAAATTAAATCATGGGGTACATAGTCTTTTGTGTCTCCTCTCTTTCAGTTGTCATGTTTTTGAGAGACATCCATGTTTTTGCATGTGGCAGTAGTTTATCATTCTTATTGCACCACAGTTTGTTTGTCTGTTCACCATTTGAAGGACATTTGGGGTTTTCCAGATTTGGGTAAGAACAGTTTGCATGTGTTTTCATTTTTCTTGGGTAAATACCTAGGATTAAGGCTGCTAGGTCATATGGTAAGTACATTTTTACTTTTTTAGAAACTGCCCAGTGTTTTTCAAAGTGACTGTATCATTTTACATTCCCATCAGAATGTATGAGAGAGTGCCAGTTGCTTCATATTGCCACCACACTTATTTTAATTTCAAAAAGTTTAGCTGTCCTGATAGGTGTGTAGCAACTGGATTTATATGTGCCTTGGTGTGGTTCTTTTTATATTCACCTTTGGTTCATTGAGCTTCTTGGGTTTATAGTTTATATGAGTTTATAGCTTTCATCAAATTTGGTAAGCTTTTGCCTATTTCTTTATAAACATTTTTTTGTTCCTCCTTCCTCTTCCCCTTGAGACTTCAATTTACGCATTATGAGAGGTAGCATGCTATTGGCCCACAATATGCTTTGCCTTTTTTTTTTTCTGTCTTTTTTTCCCTATGTGCTTTATTTTGGTTATTTCCTTTTGCCGTGTCTTCAAAGTCACTGATCTTTTCTTCTGCCATGTGGAATCTCCTGCTAATCCTACCCAGTGTATTTCTCACTTGCATATTCTATAATTCATCTACAGAAGATCCCTTTGGGTTATTTTCATTTCTTGCATTTCTCTCTTCATATTCATGTTTTCTTCTATGTTCTGGAGCATATGAAACATTTCTAATTGCTGTTTTAATGTCCTTGTTTGCTGATTGCATCATCTCTCAACTCTAGGTCTGTTTTGTTGTTGATTTTTCTCATGCTTATAGGTCACATCTTCGTGCACTTTGCTTGCTAGTAAGCTTTGATTGGATGTCAGTCATTGTGAACTTTATGTTGTTGAGTACAAGATTTTATTGCATTCCTTTATGGAGTTCTGGACTTTTAAAAAAATATATATTTTTTTTGTTTTTTGTGTGTTATTTCTGGACTTTTCTTCTGGCATGTATCTAAGTCTCTTGGCATCAGTTTAATCCTTTTTGAGGCTTACATTTAAACTTTGTTAGGACTGGTGCACAGTAGCAGGGCCCTAACTAAGGTGTCTCAGGTATTGGGAGCTCACTCCACTCTGGCTGGCGGGAATACAAATCCCAGCCCCATGTCAGCTTCTGGAATTGTTCAGTCTACTTCTTTTTAATGATTCTTTCCCCAGCCTCTTGTTTCATCCCACATATATACTGATCAGTATCAGTCAAAGACTCAAGGGGACTTTACAGTAGATGTCCAAGAGCTCTCTTTCTGTGCAGCTTCCCCGACTCAACAGGACAGCCCTCTAAAGCCTCAGCCTCAGACCGTCAGCTCAGCAGGGGGCCTGGGGAAAGAGTGGCCACCTTGTTTGTTTCCCTTCTGGCAGGAATCACAGTCCTACCTTATCTTTTGTCCCATGTCAGAAAAGAGTTTTGTTTCATATCTTGTATCAGGTTTTGTAGTTATGTAGAGCAGGACAGTGTTCTGTGTAGCAGTAATTTCTTCAGACACAAAGCGGAAGTCCCAGTGGTCTTTAGTGACTCAGTTGACAGAATTTTTCTACCCAGTCGCTATCTGCAGTCGCACGTGGGTGCTGCGTGAGCAGCACAAGGAGGAAGCAGAGTGGACTCGCCATTTTCAGGGTTTTGTTTTTCATCGCAAACCAGTTCACCAGGGTAATTCCATCCTGGTGTCCGCCATCGGGTTCCCTTTCTTTACTGAATGTTGGCACTTACAAAAAGGTTACCTGTGAGTCATTTGGCTCTAGCCTAGCTATTTTTACATCTATTTTTTTAAATTGTTCCTCTACCCCCTTGAGATGATCACTAAGTACCTGTTGGCAAAGATGTGTTTCATGCATCTGTTTGGAATCTGTGATTAAAATCAGGGAGTGTTTTTCTTACCTTCTTTTCAGAGTGGCAGTGTTTCCTGTGGAGAGGGGTTTTGTTTCCTTAGGGACCTTGCTCCACACACAGCAGTGCCAGCCAGGAACACCAGATCTGCCTCTGGGTGAGGGAACCTGCCCTGCCCGTGCTTTGCCTTTTGGGTATTTGTCCCACAGGGTTTTCAGAGAGGGGCAGGATGGCCCTGTGTGGTGTGTGGATGCTCTGCGCTGCACTGTGAAAGCACAGATGGAAAGCGTGGTGTTTCTGCCGTCTTCACCTTCCTTTGTGTGCTCCCCTTTTCCTGACTGTCACAAAGGACTGATCTCAAGTGGTTCCCAAGACTGTGGAGCAGGACATTCTCTTCCTAGGAAGTGGGAATTATTTATGTAAATCCACATGTGGGGAACACGGTTGTTAAGAACTGGAGCTGGATAACAGACAGACTTGGATTTGAATCCCAGCTCCACCTCTCATTGGCTGTGTAACCTCAGATTACAGACTTAACCACCTCATGCTCTACTTCCTCATCATAAAATAGACAAGTAAAAGGGCCAGCCTGACGCCTTTGCTGAGGACGAAGGGAGCAATGCAAGTGAGAGTCCTGATGGGGCATCTGTGCCACTACTGGGGTGGCCAGAAGTCCTGGTTTGCCCTCTGTCTCAACATGATGAATTAATAATATCCCCTTTTATTCTAAAAAATTCCTGGTATCCACAGCAAATCAAATAGTCTCCCTATTACTCAGCAAACGTTAGCTATTCTCAGAATATTCATTCTAATTGTATCCATGTTAACTATTTTTGTTGTTCAGTCAAGCCAGTTTTGAGGGCCACTTTGGCCTCTGACACTAAAGATTCAAAGATGAATAGACCCTACTTAGGCAGAGTGGTTAGCAAACACTGGGCTTGGAGGGGATGGGACAGAGTGACATTGTCAGGGTGAGTCACAGAGGAGGGGACTTAGGGCTCGAAGGATGAGTTTGCAGGATTAATTATGACATAACTCTTCCTTTCTTTCTTTTTTTGAGATGGAGTTTTGTTCTGTAGCCCGGGCTGGAGTACAGTGGCGCCATCTCGGCTCACTGCAACCTCTGCCTCCCGGGTTCAGGCAGCTCTCTGCCTCAGCATCCCGAGTAGCTGGGATTACAGGCGCCCACCACCACACCTGGCTAATTTTTTTTTTTTTTTTTCTGTATTTTTAGTAGAGATGGGGTTTCACCATTTGGCCAGGCTGATCTTGAAATCCTGACCTTGTGATCTACCCGCCTCGGCCTCCCAAAGTGCTGGGATTACAGGCATGAGCCACCACGCCCAGCCGACATAACGCTTTAAGATGTTGGCATGGGCCAGGCGCGGTGGCTTACACCTATAATCCCAGCACTTTGGGAGACCAAGGCAGGCGGATCACGTGGTCAAGAGATGGAGATCATCCTGGCTAACATGGTGAAACCCCGTCTCTACTAAAAATACAAAAATTAACTGGGCATGGTGGCACGTGCTGGTAGTCCCAGCTACTTGGGAGGCTGACACAGGAGAATCGCTTGAACCTGGGAAGCAGAGGTTGCAGTGAGCCGAGATCCCGCCACTGTACTCCTGCCTGGGTG